GTCCATGAGCTTGTAACACCAAACATTTGGAAAGGCCCATGGGTGGCAGACGCATTACAGCTCTTGCTCCACAGATTTAAGTGGGTGTGTTTGCACACCCTTCCAGAAAAACCGAGATCTCAAGAGAAAAGGTCTGCCTCAACTGCATTAGCCAATATCAAATCTTAGTGTGTGTGTATATAGTAAACCCTCGGTTGCAGCTTGTCCTTTAGTGAACAGTATGTATGTTAAACTTAGTTCAAATTACTATCTTGTGATACTTTGTTTTTTTATTCTGGTTATTGTTTGTTGCCATAAATGGTCAGTTGTCTCTATGACATGAATTCCCACCTCCTTCTTTATTGTTATCTTGTCATGTGTGTCACTTTTGCAGTAAAGTAGCATGAGTTTAGTATAAATAAGTCACTGGCAATGAATTAATAATAATAGTGCACCCTCATATGACTGTGTGTGTGTGTGTGTGTGTGTCTGTGTCTGTGTGTGTGGTTGTAGGTCTGATGCCCCTCCCAGGTGGCTTACCTCCACTCCCTAACTTGCCCAACCTCAACCTGCCACTCCCAGATCTCAGTGCTGTGTCACTAGCAGGACAACCGCCACTAGGAACCACAGGTAAATAAACATTCTTGCTTTCTGTACCTGCTGCACACGATGTACTGTATGTACGGACTCTGTTCAAGTGTCTCCCAAAGTGCTGGTCAGGACCCACAAGGGGGTCACAAGTAAAATCTCATTAGCGATTATTAACAGGATAATGAAGCAGAACCCAATATTAAATTTGTTCAGCCTTTTCCTGTAATGTTTGCTTTTTATCTTGTGAAATGCATATACAGTATATTTTAGGTCTTTTATAAATTACAGAATTGTTCCCTCACTATTTGTTTTTGAAATTTGAATATGACTGTATTGTTCTGCAATGGGACATGTCTTGCATCATTTTCCTGTTGTTACAAGACCCTAGAGTAACTATATCAGTCGCTTATATACAGACTGGGTAATGTGGTACATTACATCAATATATACCTATTTATATTAAGTATGTGTATATGGTCTCATACTTGGTTCAGACTGAAATATACTCTACTCATATTCTGAATTCAGATAATATACTGCACTTAGCATATATTGTAATTGAGACTATATTACTTGTACTATTAAAGGAATAGTTAATATGCCTATTTGTTTTTGTTGAGAGTAAGGTGAGAAGATTGATACCATTCATGCATCTGTCGTTGAATATAAGGCTAAAGCCAGCAGTCGGTTAGCTTAGCACAAAGACTTGAAACTGTAAAACGGTTGGCCTAGCTCTCACCAAAGGTAACAAAATCCACTATCCGGCACCTCTACAGCTCATTGATGTACATCAAATTGTCTCCAGTCTTTATGCTAAGCTAATCAGCTGCTGGCTGTAGCCGTATATTCACCAGATGTGTTTTTGATCTTTTCATCAAACTCTCATCTGAAAAGCAAATCTTTTCCAAAATGTTTCTTGAAGTATGAGTGCGTAGCGTGGTTGTGGGGTACATTTCAAATCTAATTCCTTGCAAAAATGAACATCAATACACCTCTTTGTTATCTTTCTGTCTCCACCAGTCCCATCTCTGGCATCCCTCCCACCCCTCAACATCCCAGGCCTGGCTCCCTTTCATCCTCTACCCACCATGCTACCCTCCCAGCTTCCTCCTCTCCTCCCTCAGGGAGTGGCCCCCCTCCTGCCCATTTCCACTGCCGCTCCTGCAGCTTCGGTCACGGTCACAGCAGCGCCTGCAACCGAGCCTGCCCCCGACCCCACAGTCCCCAAGGAAGTAGCCTCCACGAACGCCACGGAATCACCGCCCCCCACGGAAACAACACTAACGTCGTAACCTGGGAGAGAAGTTCCCGCTTGCCATCATACCAAAACACACACCCGGTTTCTCTCTTTCTACCATCTGTCTTTCTCTGTGTTTTTCTATTTATTTGGCCAAGAGGGGGCAGGCAGACAGCTGCATTAGTTCAGACACAGAGGTCGGCATGCTCCAGTTATGGGTGAGGAGGCATGTGTGGCGCGATGAAGGATGAATGGATATGAAGAATGGAGGATGGATGTAGACTGGTCCTACCAACATGTCTTTATTACCAGACTGTCACAGAGCTGGTAGCTTGTCTAAGCTACTGAGGAGGACGGGGTCTAATCTTTGGTTTGTAGTTTGCTTTGCACTTCTGCAGTTACAACACGGCAAAGACCTATCTTAGGATTTTCTCCCTTTCTGATCTGGCAATCCTCTCTGTTTCACATACTTATTTCTTTTTTATATAAACAGTGTATGTTAATGGGGCTGGACAATAAATCAAATCTATAAAAAACAAAACAAAAACTAAGCTACAATAACAAGTGAGTGGAAGTTCAGCCAACCAATCACCTCACAGTCCAGTGGTTGTCTAACTGGTCATACTGGAATAAATAGGGACAATGGTAACAGATTGGGCCTGCAGGAGACAAGAAATATCATGCACTGTTGTATTAAAATACAAGTAAACAATAAAGGCAAATATGAACGCTCATGTTTTTGGTCTTATCGTCCAGCCCTAACGTGTAACCTTTTTATTATTAGTTAATAGACCCCCTCCGACCAATAGATTGATTTGATTGACATGTATTAATTTTTGTTGAAATTACTGTATGAGTCTTCACCCAATGAATGAATCTGCATTATTTTGCACCACCTTTTGTGTTTTGAAATTATTAAGTCTGTCCCTTTGTATGTCTCCACGTCTATCCAGAACTCTATAGTACCGGTCTCTACCACACAGGGATGGTAACAGTCTGCAGGCCATGCCAGAGGGGACAGAGGTTTACAGTTACATGAACTACTGAGTAGAGTGTCTGTGCTTGCTGCTGGGTGATCAGTAGGTAGGGTGAAACACGGGTGCAAGATTATTAAATACACCGTACGGCTCTTCCTGGCATGGCCTAAGTGAATTGGTAGTTCCAGTGATGCAGTGCAGCCACAAGGTGTCACTGTAACAGAACTTTCTGTAAACATCTACAGTAAGCACAGTGCGAGCAATAAAGCCAAATTAATTTTACATGATGCCTCTGTGTGTCTTTATACAGTGTTTGTTGCTCCTTCTTTAATGACTCAGCCCCCCTTACACAATAAAAACAAAGACTGATGAAAAACAAGAACATAAAGTCATAATAGCAGAGGAATGAGAATGCTGGGAAGCTCATGACCTGAAAATTACAGGGGATGAATGAAAAGAGCAGGATGACAAACAGAAGGACAAATGGATAAAGCAGGTACATGGACTAAAGTTCACTTCCTGTGGCTCCTCTGGTGGTGAGATCAATGGTTCAAATCAAAAACCACCCACCTGAACCTGATTGGATTTTTTGCATTTTTCATCTTGAATTTTGGTTGTCTGAACTGAAGAAACATTTTACTGTTTTTAAACAGGACACTTTAGTTTTCAGTGTAAATTAGAAATTGCCCCTCTTGAAAATACCAACGGGAAGGTTTTAAATAAAAACCACATCAATGTAGACATTCGGCATTCAAAGTCAAATATTTCAATGCTTCAAAGTCAGTGGCACTTAGAGTAAACATTAAGCATTCAGCAGTGGTTAAATTAATATTTGGTACCATACAATCAAAGGTGACAGATTTTAGTCTTACATTGTCATAAATCCATCCTGAATGAACTATGGCTAAGTGAATTTTAATTAAAATACTTTTAAGCATCATTTTCAGCAAATGGAGCTCAGGAAAAGCACTAAATATTGGGACTGTATTCTAATGGTGCCTGAGGTGCCATGTATGAAAAATGTCTATATGCCAGTGTCTTCTCATCATTAACACGAAGATATCATCACCCTCCTCTGTGTTCCATCTTGTATAAAACACCTCCAGTGACGTTGCATAACCCTCCGCAGGAAATATGGGTCACACTGCAGGAATTAAGACTTGTAAGGCAATCTTTATTGCATATGAATGACACGGCCTAGTGCTGCACCCCCACCGCTAATGTGATCTGACACGTAGCTTACTAATGGCTGTACTTACATCTGTCTACACACGGCTGCCATTAATCAAGTGGTATATGCACTTGATGCTAGCACCCATTTTCTACTGTTGTTTTGTCATGTAGAGGAGAGGAAGAAAAAAAAAACTAGACAGGAGGGGATAAGTTTGTTTTATGCCTTACTGCACCCAAGTGGATCAAATTACACTTCATCAAACTGAACACAGACTTTACCTGTTTCATCTGGAAGCAGCAAGCCGTGAGACGGTACTTCCTACAGTTTAATCTGCCTGTCATGTTACTGAAACTACCATTTCTTTCGTTATTCATCTAACGGCTCGCACACAGAAAATCAGTTAAGACTTATTTTTAAAAGCAGGAGAGAAGAGACACCCACAACTTGCTGTTAACTGCTCCCACTTGTCTTTTATCTGACTTCCTCACCCAGGAAGATTTCTCTTTTTTCCACGGGTGTGCTTTGGGCTGAGTCCAGGCTGCCTGCATCTGAGAGGGTTTAAAACGTTTGCAACAACGTACAGGTAAGTGTTTTATTTACAGGACGACAACATTTGGATATATCCACGTGATTCCTAGCTGCAGTAAATCATGCTGCAACACAGCCAACCTGGAGCGCGCCCACTTCTACTGGCATGAACAGGTGTGACCATTCCTCTCTACATAGCATACTGGGACTTCGCTCCATATAATGTCTGTTGGACTTCTACATGAGAGTAAACAAAAACCCGTGTGGACACTGATGTTGGTGGCAGAGGAACGGTTTGCATCCCCCCCTCCCCAAACAGCACAGCGGGTGTCCGTTTCAGAAAAAGGGGCTCTGGAGAGTGTTCCTCTTAACACAGTTCAAGTATGCACATATGGCAGGCAGAGACCATTCACACGTTACAAACTAAAAGCAACATTTATAGCAGCAAACTGAGAACAGCTTTCAGGAGGAAACACAAATAAACGGAGCAAAGTGAGACACTGGGAAGCAAGGATAAAGCCTCATTATGTATTTGCTAGTGGGTAATGTCTCCTGCACATGAAATGTACACTAAATTCTGTGTCCCGAGTCTTTGTAGTACAGTAACAGCTGATCCAGTCCCTCAGTTCAGTCCAACTATTCCAGGCAGCTTGATGAGGTCGTCTATGACAACATGGTACTGTAATACTGTGCTGTTTGAAACATTGTGACTCTTATCTGAAAAACACAAAATGGATTAAGACAGATTGACAGGTCCACTTCCTGTAAACCCGGCAGTAGATCTGAATTGCTTCGAAACAAAACAAAAAAGTGAACCAAGGACTCGGCTACTGATCAGTCCAGAACTAGCCCACGCTGTAGTACTTCATGCCAAATGTGTGTGACCAGATCGCCACCATCTGGCCCGGAAGTGCAAATTGACCCCAGAAATTTCGTCTGGAACATTTTTTCTTTTCAGTCCCATCAAGGTTACAACATACATTTAAGTGAACCCCTGTCGGTTGCAGAGGGCCTGCAAGGGTAGATTCAAAAAGATGTAACCATAATTTTGTGCCTCATAAATATGGATAGCAGGTTACTTGACAGGGAGTCCATATTTTGACTTGGAGACACTCGGACCTTCTCTGCAGCACACACACACACACACACACCTGTTCATCCTTTTCTTCTGTTCCCCACCGGTCAATGCCACCCTCACATAACAACAAGAGAACATCTATAATGTAGAAGAAATTCTAAGCCATCTTGTGAGGTGTATTATGGTGTAGAGCTAAGAGAGGTGGGCTTGGACAGGGCACCTAGGAGCCCCTATAGCTGTTGAAATGTCTCCTAAAGGGTTATTTAATAAAGTCCAAAGGAAATCCACTAGCTTCATCGTTTTCTTTTCTTGCTCCGCTCTCTTTCCATTTCCCTTCTGTTTTCCAGTTTTGCCGTATCTCACACAGTTGAGTTCAAGGGCACAATTCTGTACAACATATGCAAAGGGGGTATCCCACTTTCACTTTTTCAACCTTTTTCCATCTTTTCCATTTAATTCTTCTCTGTTTCTAACTTATCCATTTGGGAATAGCTCAAGTAAAAAAAAAAAAAGAAAGATCCACATCCATTATCCTCCAATTCTAACAATCTGCCTTGAGATTGGCCAGAGGGTCCTGTCAGTCATGTGAGAGAGCCAGTCAGTAGGTAGGGAGAGATGAGGCGGAGGGCTGCAGGGAGCCGGAGGAGTTAGAACGTCTCATGTGAGGGAGGAGGTAGGAGTCCGAGCACAGTTGGTGAACATCGAACCTGTCCTCCTTGCGGTAGGCCAGACAGCGCCGGATAAATGCCTGCAGAGCAGAGGAGAACATATTATACAATGTGCTGCAGGCTGTGAGAGTGTGAGAGTGTGAGTGTGAGTGTGTGTGTGGAGACTCTTCATATTGACTTAGAGAGACAATACAGGAGAGACTGTGCTCTAAACTGATACACATTAGAGTTGATTCAGGTGTTTGAGCCTGTGTCAACATGTCAGTGGATAGCCAGACACTTTGAAAGCTCTTGTAGACATTAATACATAAATTATAGAATGAAAACTTGCAATACACCAGTATCTCAACTCAGTTTGCTCACGCCTACTAGGATTGGGCAAAACGCTGATATATACTGAGAGACAATTTACATTTGCCAACTGTGAAGTCAAGCCAAATGTATTTATATAGCACATTTCAGACATTTTGTTTTGTTGTTCATTCTGAGGTTTCCCTTAATATCTCTGCTTGTGTCAGACTTCATGGCAGTTTGGGATTTACAGGACTTTTTGGATCAATGTGATGAAGTACTTTGATTTTTCAGGTATTTAATTCTGGGCCCAAATACAGACACTTCTCATTTGAGAAGTTGAATTTAGAGCACTTTTAAGATACATGTTATGCAATTTGTTCACCCCTAACTCCTTCTATGACAACATTTGGTTTAAGGTAATCAGAATGTACATTTTTTTAAAATCCAGAATTGGATTAATACTGGAATATTGCACTGAATATAAATACAATCATCATGCAGTCTGAAAAGATCTAACAGTAACATTAGTCACAGGAGTGTAAGGTTTCAAGCTTTTTTTTGCAGAATGTCTACAGTAAAACTGGCATACTAGCCATTGTGTGAATGTGTACTAAATGTATGTGTGTGTGTGTGTGTGTGTGATTGTGTGTGTGTGTGTGTGTGTGTGTGTGTGTGTGAGTGTGTGCGCACGCTACCTTTGCCTCTGTGCTAGCCTGTGGTTTAGCAGGGAACTGGACCTCTGTGGCTTTGAGGATGGTGTTTTCCTGGAGAATATCCTGCTGTGACTGGTTGTGACCAAACGGCTGGAAAAACAAAAAACATAAAGAAATCACCACCAATTCCAATTCAACTATTTGAACCCGGAAAAGAAAAACCTTAATGTACAAATCTTTCTTTTCCCCTCACCACAATTCAAAGCACTTTCTTTAAGAGATAACCTAATCTCTGGGTTCATTTGCTTTCTCCAGTGTAGCAGTTGATGTTTAGGTTTGTACCTTGCGTCCGTAGAGGCACTGGAAGAAGATCACTCCCACAGACCAGACGTCCACCTTGTTGGAGATTTTAGGTGGCTCCTTCCCCACCACAAAACACTCTGGAGGAAGGTACCTGAAACACACACAGGATGTCATACATATTTTTGCAAACTGAACTCCATGATTATTTTATACCATACAAGTGATAGGAATTAAAAGGTAATTCACAATTCACTGCCCATATTAATGAATTCAAGATGGATAATGAGTGTTCAGCGGTTCAGACTGACCACAGAGAGGGGTTTAACTCGTGTTACTATGTCAGTCTGAGAGGGGTTTTGGTGACTGCGTATGAGTCCATGTGTATCTTACCAGTAGGTTCCAGCTCCCTGTGATGTGAGGTCCATCCCATCCACACCATAGTTATCATCATCCATAATCTTAGACAGGCCAAAGTCTGTGATTTTGATTTCTCCACACGCAGTACCATCCACCAATAAGATGTTACCTGCACACCGCACAGAAAGTGACACTCAGTACAGTGTGTGAGACAGAGTGATTGACCTCAGCTCAGGTGGGAAGCAACCAAAGCAGTCTGCTTGTTTTCTTCAGATTACAGTTATCTACATTTAATATCATGTATGATTCATTCAAAAAAAACATTTGAACACATGACCCACCAGGTTTGAGGTCGTAGTGGATGATGGGGGGTTTGATCTCGTTGAGGTAGCGCAGGGCGCTGACAATCTGCATGACAATGGAGCGTGCCTCCTTCTCTGACATCAGCTTATTTTGCTTCAGGTAGAAGTCCAGGTCGTTGCCTTCACAGAACTCCAGGACAGTACAGAACCTGGGAGAGCAGAGGGCAGAGGAAAAGGTCAAATTCAACAACTGAATGTGAACGAATCGAGGTCAACAGTACTTCTTATAACAAGAATATAACAATACTGTCATTCATTTATTGATCTCTATGTAGAAAGATTAACGGTTCATCCTGTATAGGTTTCTGTAAATTCCACCTCCCCCTCCTCCATGGAGGTCAGAGGTCAGTGCCAGGAGTTTCTGCTCATCTATGTGAGCTGCTCAGTTTCACAAGGAATGCTCTATTAACACGGTACAATAGGAGCTGGGCCTACTCAACCTTTGTACTCCCCACAGAAATGATTTACTCAACCTTTGTACTCCCCACAGAAATGATTTGTCTTTATCTGACAAAAATACAGTCTCATCAGACTGGGTAGCACTGACTACAGTGACTCATGTGGTTAGTTAACAATCAAAGCTAGAAGTTAACCCTTTAAAAATAGCTTCCATTGTCAGGGCATGTCCATGCTGAGTCATACATTTTTCAGTGCATTGCTGCTTTTACTATTTACTCTTTCCCAATCTGATAACACCCCTATGATGTTTGCTCTTACTTGTAGCACCCACTGACGTAGAGCCTTGAGGCAGAAAACAATCAACTCACTCATTATTTAAATATTAACTGGGTAGGGCCTTTATGAAAGTTTGAATGTTAGTGATGTGAACTGTGTTGTTTAAACCCAGTCTAAAAAAAGATTTTTAACCCAGCGCTGGGTGATAAACAACCACAGGATGTGTCAACACAGCAGGACTGCAGCTGGCAGAGGTCAGAGGTCACTCACGTGTCAGTATCGAGGGAGAAATAGTCATACAGCTTGACTATTCTGGGATGGTCCAGCTGCTTGTGTATCCGGTACTCCCTGCATGCATGCCTGAGGAAATAAATGTCAACATAGTGTGTGTGTGTTAGTGGAGAAACATTTTGTCTTTTTTGTATCTAAAGTCGTGTGTATATATGAGACCTACTTGTGGTAGTTCTCCTTTTTCTCCTCTCTCCAGTTCTTGTTGAGCTGGTGGATTTTAACAGCTGCGTAGCGCTGCTCAAACAGGTCAAAAGCCTGTGTGGGACAAGAAAACACACACACATTTGTCTCCAAACATACTTTACAGAGAGAGGGGATAGGAAAAATCTGGTCCAAACACACAGACATTACCTTATAGACTTCACTGAAGCCGCCCCTGCCCAGCAAGTGCAGCAGCAGGTACCGCTCATTCAGGGTAGGATGATCTTTAAACCTGTGTGAGGAGGCACAAGATCTTTTAAGCTTAAGGCTTGTGTCACCTTTGAAACAAGTCCTTCCATATTTTTTCATTTACTTCTTTTAACAACAAAAGATGTCCTCCATTCCTTTAATGTTTTGTATTGATCGTGTATTAACCATTAGTGAACTTGGCAGGTTATGGTGCTCTGTGTAGAACGGACTTACGCCGAGCTATCCTCGTTGTTTATCCTCTTCAGCTCTCTGATATGAAGGTTCCTCACCCGCTCCAACCGCTCCAGCTCTGCTTGAATCTCAGCTTCCTCCTACAGAAAAGTTTAATTATTTTCCCATTTAAAGATTAATGCACTTAAAACCCACGTATGCAATCTAACAATTTAAGACTCCAGCTGCCATTTAAAACTGAATGCATGGACATCTATGCGTAGTTTTAATAATATTTTGCGTTCTGTTCAATTGATTGATTGGTTGATTTTTTTGTTGTTGCTACAAACCTTCTTCAGATGTCCAAGGCGAAGCTTGAAGATCTCTTCCTGCTCGTGGTACTCAGCGAGGGTCAGTCTGCCAAAATATGGACAACTTAAAATCTCCAGACAACTCCCATTCAATTCTAAGCCTCCCACTGAGGAGGAGCTGTGAAGGAAAATGTATCTAAAAGAGGCCTATGTTGCATGGCCACTAAGAATTGTACAGTAAAAACAAAATAAACAAGCCATGATCATCCCTCTCGTATGTATTTCAGCATACTCACAGCTGGGGCAGGGAGGGCTTGAGGAAGGGGTCAGAGTCATTGCCGTTGACCACCTTGGTTTTGCGTTGCTTGGGTTCAGAGGTGGAGGCCACTGAGAGGGAGGGTGATGCAGGGTTCGGGGGCTTCCTCTTGGCGAGAAGCTTCCTCTGTCGCTCTATGTCCTCCCTCTGCTGGTTGATGCCCTCCTGCTGCCTGCACAGAGAAGACGACACAGAGGGGGAGGGAAGTGGTCATATGGAGAAATGCTGTAGCTGACAATAAACAACCTTTCACATGTTTTGCTCCTGGCTGTGAAATGAAGCATGCACACACAATGCACTTCACTCCATTCCACTGTATTTCTGACCCTTTAACGCTGGTTAGAATTCAAAATTTTAAAAGAAATATATTGAAATGAATTTAAAAAAAAATTATGCAGATGTTTAGAGCCTCTTACTTGATCAGGTTCTGGAATGCATATCCGTCGGTCCACTGCTCCGTGTAGGAAGCTCCGTGTCTGACAGTGGTGAAGTGACCGAGACGGAGACGGTCCTGCATGCTCTTCTCACGGCACGACTGCTTCTCCTGGGTGCTCTGCTCACAAAGACAGGCAGATATTAGTAATGTGTGCAGTGTTGCCGTAGGTGTTTCAACAGCAACAGAAGAGAGCAGAGATAAACTAAATATTCTGGTGACAACCTCTTGCCATTAACCTGTAGGTTACATCTCCACCCATAATAAAAACTGGTAAGTAAGCTCATTTTCAAAATTACAAAACTGAATTCTCCAGACATATTAAAGGTCCAGAGTGTAGGATTTAGTGGCATTTAGCAGTGTAGTTGCAGATTGCTTCACCCTCCCCTTCCAAGAGTGAAGGAGAAACTAAAATGGCTGTGAAATACGCACATCCCTATCTAGAGCCAGTGTTTGGCTTGTCCTTTCTGAGCTACTGTAGAAACATGGTAGTTCAAAATGGTGGACTCCATGGAAGGCAACCCACAGCATGTGTAGCTATAAACGGCTCATTCTAAGGTAGCGAAAAGGCAAAAGATTCCTTCATTCAGGTCATTTAACAGGTCATTAGACACTATTGAAAACAAAGCTATGAATATTTTACTGGACCTTTAAATAGATTAAATGACTGGATTACAAAATGGTTGCTTATAAACTATATCCCACCACCACTGTGCAGCTCTACGCAAATTGTTGGAGACTTAATGAAAACAGGTGTACCAACCCAAAGACAGAATTTCTCCCTCAGGAGTTGTGGTCCAAAGCAGAGCTAAAACACCAGGGAATATTGGGCCTATTATTGGAGAAGGTGTTGCTCTATTTCTGTTGCTTTTTTTTTCTGTTTGCAATTGCTGACACATTAGATGGAAGAACATGATAGGATGATTTACTGGCTCTGTCAGGCTCATATACAGCAGGTTGTGTCTCTGCCAGTTTGTTTTTCTTTCTGCTCACAAGGCATCAAAAAAACCTCCTAATGCAGCGTTTTTTTCCTAAATTGAATGTATAGTGGAAACACAAAACAGTGCATAAATGCAAAGAAAGTTACCTTCTCTATAAGCAATTTCTTGCTCATGGTGATGCACTTATTTAGCCTCTCCTTGTATTTCTCCAGGAGTTTTTGCTGTTCATCTATCTGTCTCCGTAGGTCACAGTTAGCCTGTAAAGCAGAGACAGCAGGGACTGTAGTTATAAACATAATACAAACCTGGCATGATAACCTGTAGTGCATTAGACAGTCATCCACTTATGCACTCTCCATCAAAATGGACGGTGAACTCACCCTGAGCAAGTCATCTATTCGCCCCTCTTTTTTCTCCAGGTCTAGACTCTTGTTGCTCTCCAGAGCAGCAAGTTTCAGGCCTGTTAACTCCGTCTATGAGATCCAGATAGGCGTGTATTAATAAATCTATATATGTATAGTACAAAAGTCTTGAGGAAAAAAAGTGTGTCAATTGATTGTTTCATGTGTGCGTCATATTACCTGGACACACTTGCTGGAGGAGGCTTTCGGATTGTGTTCTCCAAAACACAGACTCGTAGGAGAGGAGCTATTCTGCCGGATCTACAGACAAAGAGGTATTGTTAAACCTTGTAATAACACACAGAGACTTAGATGTGCAAATAACTCAGCATACATCATTGTGTTAAGGCATTCTGCTGTTAGTGAAATACTCACGATTGAACCTGGGGCAGAGTGTGAGTTCTGTGGGGAGCGGCGAGCTGATGGGAGGCCTCTGACCGGACTGGAACCATTTCCACCCTGGAACTTTGCAGAGGAAACAAATGGTTTAACTTAAGAATCTGGTTCAAAATGATAAGAATCATAACATGCTAAAAAGACAGAAGTTGCTCTAACACTCACATCAAAGTAGTCGCTGATCTTGGGCCCACGTGTGGAGGTCTTCCCTACACAGAAAACCAAACAAAGATTTAATGCAAGCTATGAGTAATGCACAGATACCTATAGTATACTGATTTCTTGCAGGTGTCAGTCATACCTTGACTACTCTCTGAATAGGTGTCTGCTTTCCTTTTCCTCCCTCTGGACGATTCAGAATGCTTCTTCTCCGGGGTCTGAATTTATAAGAAATGAGAGAGAGAGAGAGAGAGAGAGAGAGAGAGAGAGAGAGAGAGAGAGAGAGAGAGAGAGAAAAAGTTATAAATCCCTTGTGTTTTACCTAACAAAGCTGGTTCGAGTGGTGGTGTTCAGCAGGAAAGATCAGTAGGAGGAAAGAGTACGTACTGAGTAGGCAGGGGAGCTCCCTCTTTTCAAATCAGAGTTCTAGAAAGAGAAGAGAGGAAGAGGTGGAGGTAGTGGGAGAGGCAGAAAGACGAGTGGGCAGAGCAAAGAAAAAACTGAGCACTGACAACATGCAACTGTGTCTAACCAGGCTTCCTCATTAGCAGCTGTGTAATAATGATAATATGTATTATCTAATTTCAGCTTTTGATCCGTCTTCTCAAAATAAATAAAACATACCAATAAATAAATAACTATACCATAACCATGATTAGTGTGCGTGTTTTACCTCAGACTCCTTGTCGCTGGATGAGCCCAGGCTGCCATAGCTATGGTTAGAGGACTCATTGGCCAGACCCTAGAAACAGTGAGAATTCAAACAAATAAGCAAACACACACAATATGAAAACAGCCTCTACATGTGAGTTGTGCTATCCAAGTTCAGTAACCTTGTGTAATGTAAAAACCAGGGAAACAAAGCCAGGAGGACGGCCCTCTATTCTGCCACGTCTGATAGGAATCCAGATCTTCAGTTATGAGGTGTGTCATTTGGCCCTTTTCCAACACATGCACATTTCCAGGAAACCTGAGGCCTTTTTAGGGAAACTGGAACTTTTACCTGTTTTTCCACCATGGGAACTTGGATTTGCTTCTCATTACCTGCCACCAAAATGTGATGTAGTACTTTCTGATGCCCAGGGAACTATCATGGTGGAGTTACTGGCAAACAGAAGCCCCAAGACTGCTACAACTTGAGTGCAACATTTTTCCTGCTGCAAACAATCACTGTTGAACTTGTGATTGGAATTTATTTTTATTGACACCTAAACAATGCAACCAATTTCTCCAGTAGTCTCAAAAAAAGTGATGTCTTGTGAGCAAAAATTAAACTAAGCTGTTCAGAGCAGTTTAAGCCTTCATCGGTTAGGAAACAGGAATGCACAGCATTACCTTTAGCCCCTGGGTCAACTGTGTTTGTGTGTGTGATGGATCTCAAAAATAAGCCATTAGTTGTTCTGCGATTACCTTAGCACCTCCACTGGTGCTCCCAGTGCTGCCTACTGTGTTGCCACTGACAGCTCCTGTGAACCTGGCCTCCAGCAGCTCCTGTCTCCTGGGGTCCAGGCTGTGCAGCTCCTCCATGGGGCCTGGCATCAACAGAGTAAGGTTAGACGCGTACATTATCGCCATTACTAGCAAACAGTGGTGACAAGTATCAGAGAAAATTAAGACCCGGACATTTTTCTGCAACAAAATTACTAGAGAGAAATAAAAATGAGCACTAAGAGAAGGAACATAGGACAGTATCTGGGGGAGGATTAGAGAAAATTAGAGTGATTAGAGGATAAAAATAGAAAAATGGATTTGATTCAACTGGGCAGCAGGTAGCTCTTTAAAAGATGCAATTTCATGCCATGATGAAAGATACTGTAGATGAGTGACACTGCATTTCTAACTTGAGCAGGAAGGTCATTCTAGCACTGGGAAGTCAGGAGGGAAAAGAGACGAGATCGGGCGGAGTCTCCCAGTATGTCAACACAAAAATCTTCAACCAGCTCTTCCATTATCTCATTAGTTAGACTGTCACAATGGCCTCATTGCACAGTGCTAAACTAGTCTGTGATATTCAGGGATCTCAACACCTTAGAAGCCATACAGACAGCGCACAACACCAGCTGATAATGGGATAAGGACACTTGAAGTTGTATCCCTAATTCAAATGCTACACGTGTGTATCAATGTTCCTAACACTGTTGAAACAGGACACAGCTTTTCAGGCCATTCAGGCTTTTGCAAAAACCTAGTTTTACATGGAAATAATTTCCTCTGCATATGGTCAGATTTACAGATGTCTAAGTGCTAAACCTTACCACTGTATATCTGAACCACAATGTTCATAACATGAATCTCACACAAGCAGTAGGCTAAACATATATGCTGCCTGACTGGGCCTCGTTCCATGACAACGGGTTTCCAGGGAAAGAGACACACACACACACACACACACACACACACACACACACACACACACACACACACACACACACACACACACAGGTCCTCTGCTCCCTACTGACTACTGCTGCAAGTGTTTGTTTCCTTATTGGACATTTCCTGGCTGTCATCTTTACATAGCTTCTGGCACAGGGGCAAACCCTAAAAGGCATAATGGACATTATGAAACCTTAGGGCAGTGAAATAGAGAGCACACACACTGCAAGGCCTGTGTGAGGTTACCTAAGGACAGGGGAGATTGTAATGTAGGTGAATTCGTCTATATAGCTAGAGATTTATATTACAGCATTATTTTGTATCTTAGTACGAAAGAGTTACAAGACTGAGTTACGTCTTAGGTTTAAATTAAGTCTTACGCGATATCCTCGTTCTTAATTATAACGCTGATTTTCGTTCTTACAGTCTTATTAACACCGTGGATGTCTTAATATATTAATACATCATGTCCTACAGTTCATATAGTTAGCAGGAAGAATATAACCAATTGCTCCCACTTTTGATCACTGTTCTGTCACATCACATCCAGCAACTCAGCAATATCGGAGTAAATAAAGTCTCAACAGCCATGTCGAAAACAATTGGAAAAACAGATGCATCCGAACTGGCCTGGGAGGTAAAATACAGGGCCTGTTATCAAGTTTATAGCAGCAGGGGCATGCACTGCAATGCATTAATGGATGCATGCATAGCTAACGTTACGTTGTTTAATATCCAACTAGATGCTGTTGATATGGGGGGGAATGTTACAAACTGCTACAAAACACTGTAATCGCATCAAGAGCTACGAGTAACTACAAACCATGTAAGCTGACAGTCATACAAACAAAACAACAAGCTAGCGCTGCCTTTGTGCATACATGATAGCTTGCTGCTACTTAGATTGGCCATCAACTGAACTGACAGCTGACGTTTGGCTTCCAATTCACGGCATCAGTGAACTTGACATCCATTTTTACTTGAACAAACGTTAGCTCGACAAAGCCAAAATAATCCACTTCTCCTGCAAAGGACACTCTTTAAGGAGAATACGAGTCGGTCGTGCACTTGGCGAGCTAATATACCTTCCTTGCTCTTTGCGGTCGCCGTTATATGTTGTTGAGAAATCGTTGGGGACGAGGAGAGCTGCGACCAAGATGGCGTCGCCTCCAAACTTCCACCACCACTTCCACTGTTACTTTGGACACTCATGAAGCCACTTTACCGCCGAGAGGAGCCAGCGTACACACTGCCGTTCGCGGAAATCCCAAACTTGCGTCCATCGTTTGACACCTGCTGTAGCCAAACAGGCGAGTAAACGTGAGTTAGGGCGTTTTTGTGTTGCTAGACGTCTCTCATTTTGTAACCCGTGTAGGTCCTGCGGAGGAGCGGCTTCTTCTTTAGACACTCGCTGAAACGGATCCAGTGTAACCTTTGCATGATGACCGCACCGCGCGCCTGTCAGCATCCAGTTCGCGAGCGGAGCTCTGATTCTTGTAGGCGAGGCTATCGCGAGGCTGGCGCGCACCTAGCAGCTCGATGGGGGATGGCATGACACCGACACAGACACTGATCTGGGATCATTTTATCCTCCTCTAAACTAGCCTTAGGTTGACTGGAAAGCACATCTACAGCGTCGACCTGAGAACAGTCTCTTGTTTTGGTGAAAACAACAAACACCCCGAAAAAATGGCCGAAACTTCTTGTCTGCTTGAGGAGAACGACAGAAAACAGAAACACACACACGTATGCGCGCGCACACACTACGTATATATATATATATATACTGTCAACAGTACAGTACTCAACATACTGCACACACACTCACACACACACATATATAGTACATATATATGTACATATATGTATATAAATGCACACATATATATTTACACATATATATAAATGTACACATATATTTACACATATATATAAATGTACACATATATTTACACATATATATAAATGTACACATATATATTTACACATATATATAAATGTACACATATATTTACACATATATATAAATGTACACATATATATTTACACATATATATAAATGTACACATATATATTTACACATATATAAATTTACACATATATACATATATACATATATGTATATATGTATATATATGCACATACATATAAATACAGTCTTGACAGTACAGTGCTCAACAGTGAACAGTATGTGTTGTGTGTGACAGAGAATGTGCGTGTGTGTGTGTGAGTGAGCGTGTGTGTACAGGTAGGGCTGTGGTCTTGATATGCTGTTTTTCAGTCTTGAAACACAAGTTTGGGGGGGTGGGGGGTGCAGGTGGGAGGATAGTGATGTGGTCTGGGCTATAAGGTCTTTTGTTCCAAATTTGGTGCAGTGCATCAAAATGCCTTTGCCTTCTTGTAGGGCAGCATACACATAACACACACACACACACACACACACACACACACACACACACACACACACAAATGCACACACACACACACACACACACACACACACACACACACACACACATAGACAGACTCTTTAACATTCAACTGTTTGGCCTACATTTTATTCCTACATTCCTTTCTTATTAAAAAATTATAAATTAATTTACCGTAACCCAGACTGTGAGACGAGGCTCATCAAATGTGTCATTCTTGATACAGAAAAGCTGTTTAACCTCTAATATTTGGAGTAAATTCTGATATAATTTCATTGGTTCACGTAAGCATTCAAAGTAATAGTGCGCACACTGTAAAAGGTTTGTTTGTCTGTCAAACTCCTGCTCCCCTTGCAGCCAGATTGCATCAGGAAATAGACTGAGGCACAAACGATCATACTGCACCTCATATGCACCTGCCCGTGGTAACCTGATTTTTTTGGTCACATGGTTTCCATGGTAACAGAGCAATAGTCTTGACAGGCAATGAGGAAGGTTGTATAAGCAGTCTACTACATTACACTACTACACACTACAGCACACACACACACACACACACACACACACACACACACACACACACACACTGTTTATGATGTCATTTCAGGTGAAACTGGAGTTGTGTTATGACGGAAAGGTGACGGGTGACTGATATTCAAGCAGCAGTCGGGACATTCTAGGAGCATCAAATGTCTGATGGAAAACTGGGAATGTTGGCTGACATTTTTAAAAACTGTCACCAGCCTGTGTTTACAACACGCAACTGTGGCCAACAAAAATAATGCCCCTTCAAATAATAATAAAAGTTTGAAAATACAAAGAAAGTAATGAGATAAAAGATTAGTTGTACATTTACACAAGGTACGATATTTCATAGCTGTCTGAACACAGCTTTATGTAATAATAAATATTAAATCATCTAAGAGATGCCTCAGAGATGAAATACAAAAACAAAACAATGGTTTCTGTTAAAATAGTTTTTATATTTTGTATTTTCGACATGGTGGACTAAAGTCAGCAGTTCTGGCTGTTAAAGAAAAAGAAATGCCTGCCCCCTTTTTTTCCTCTTAAATAATTGTGATCCGCATGAATGAATGAGGTAATTCAATTCTGATGATAATCAAATAATAATTAATAAAACAAATATTTTATGTATATATGTAGATATAGAGTACCAAAGTAGTGTGATAAAGCATTTAATTGAAAAGAAAACACCAAAAAGTATGAATGAAGTTATTTGAGATAATATAGAGTGAAATAGTAAACAAAAAAGTCAGTTATGATGTTGACAGGAGTAGATTTTTCATCTATAAGACCAAATCAGGTAACACACTGAGGATGCTCCAGTTAGTCCTCCCCCACTACATCTTGATTTGAAGTCTGAAGTATCTGATTCACACAAACTAACTTCAGTTGAATTAATTTGTTTAGCTCTGTTCAGTTAAGGACTCACTGATGTTTTAATGGCCTTTTCATAAAGACTACTATGAACATTTATTTTTTCATAATAATCATAATGTATGTGGACATAGAAAACAACAACCTATGGCTCAGCTTATAGCCCAATCAACCTCAGCTAATACAGCTCTATGTAGTGACATTTATAACTCTCTCTTATGTCATCAACATAATTTCACTCTCTTCTGCAAGAGAGCAAAACATAATTAAACTAAGAATTATATTGCTTCATAGAAAAAACAGTTAAAACAACTTCTTTCACTAAATGTTTAAGACACAATAGCAGTAGTACATGTACTAAATTGTAACTCTCACAATGTGCATCAGGAAACAAACACTATAAAATAATTATATAAAACTATTAATTTGTACTATTCCATACCCTCTGTCAACTCAGCCTTAACAGACTTTCTACACTGCAAACAGTGTGACCTGCCATAGCAAGCAAAACACATTCATTATAACTCCATTCCATTTAGTTGTCCCAGTAAGCCATCAAGTATGTACAGAACCAGAGCCCTGGAACCTAAAAGTGGCACAGCTAAATGGAATGCAGCCATAATTAATGTAATTAATTATATCTGTGTGTTTCCTGCAATAACATGTCAAAAGTCTGCAGTGAAAATGAGTTATGCTCCAGCTGACTCGTTTCTTTGTTTGCTGTTGGCTGCTCCATTTCCTTGCTGGCGAGGAACAGACTCCACAGTTAAAATAGACTTTTACATTCAGTTTGGCACAACCCATATTGCTGGGAGTGTAAGAAAATCCCCATTCAGTGGCAAACTCACCACAGTACACACCACATCCCATTCTAATTACCTAACATACACCAGCCAACAACACAGAGTAGAACGACAGCTTGTGGTAAAGAAGTAAGCCTGTTGTTAATGTCTGTAACTGTCAGGAAAACTTGTTTATGCTCATTATATTTTAGTAAATAACATACTGTGTAGACTCCATAAATACATACTTCAGACTTTATGTGTATGGTGTGCAGAACATTGGTGCAGAGTACTGTAAGTCAATTAAACAACAAAGTATGAAAGTATAAAATAAATAAAATCTCTGAATTCATAAATGGGGGCCTCATTGTACTGCCAGAAGAAAAGGAGGAACATATATTCCAATGCACAGGGCACTATGGGACTAATAGTGAAAAGAACATTGCCAAAAACATTTATATATTTATGTCTTCAACACACTGCAAAAACTGTTTTCTTGAATTGAACGTTTGAACTTGAACTGTGTGATAAGATCCAGAATTAGTGACATCAAAGGTAATTAAGTACATTTATAGATATGACTAGCAATAGTTATTGATACATCTCTGTTAATAATCTTAAAGATAAATGACTCCATGTCCAACTTATTTTAGTTTAATACCACTAATTTCACTCAACAGTTTTCACAATGGCAATTTACATTAATGTAATCAAATGTGATCAAAAGTACATAGAAATCCCAGGAGTTCAGTCTCTTCTTTTGCCCTTGAAACATTATGAAAACATCTGGTTCCTTGGTCGAAAGGCCTCCCTCTGCCTCTCGTACATGCTGAAGTAGGATCTCAGAAGGTCCTCCATCGTGTCGGCCTGAAAACGGAGGAAATGGATGTCTGTTTCATTTCACAATCACTTCTCCCAAACAGTAGTGGGAGTGGGACTGATTTATAGAATAATGTTTATTAACTTCTTCTGCAAGAAAAACATTTGGACATGTGAGACAGCCGCTCACCTGTGAGGTTTCACAGACGAAGTCGACGCCCCTCACCAGGGTACCGATGGTCATCTGGAAGTAGCCACCCTCGCTGAGGTATTCTGTGATGCGGCTGAACGGGTGCATTATCAGCACCTCCTGAAAGGTTTACACAGTGTGATTAGGCTACATTAAGATGGTTTGAGTGAAATAAAATGCTTTACTACCACACAACATGACATGTTTAAATACATTATTTCTGGATTATTATTGTGCATACCTTTGTCTTTGGGTCTATGAAGCTGACACCTTGCTTGCTGATGGCAATCAAAACTATATTTGGGTAGCTAGATTCACACGTTTGCTGCAAAGTTAAATGAAATCATAATATGACAAAACAGTTTTCTCAAATTGTTGTCTGCCAACTTTGTCTTTTCATCCTGATGACTCACTTTAACTGTAAAGAAGGCACAGCCGAAGGTTGGCCAACTTGAAATGGCTTTCAGGAAGGCGATTTTAGCCTCCTGCACCGTGATGCCACTCTGCTTGTTGTAGGAAGAGATAATGTGCTGCAAGGAGAACACAAAGCAAAGAGTGGGCATCCCTTACACTGGACACAGTCATGTAAAAGCTCTCCCGGTACTTCCCCAAAAAGATAATTTTCCACATTCTTAGATAAATTAACCTCTGTACATTTCTTCCTTTACCTTCTTCCATTCTTCAGGGGACATGCTTTTTATCTGGTCAGCAGGAACCAGCTCCCTCAGCATTTTGGGGATCATGACAAACTGCGACCTGTCTGAATCAACTTCGACTCTGAAGAGCAGCCCGCCCAGATTGATCATGTCTTCTTTGGTGCAGTTGTGGTATCCCTTCAGGTACTTAGGCACCTCCTGTATAGAGGCACAACAGAGGTCATCATGTATCATGACAATTCTGTGTGTTTAAAGAGCGTAAAAGCCAGCAGAATGAAGAAAGGGTTGTTTGAATACCTGTGGGAAATGGAAAGTGAGGTCTGCAACCAGGTCTTTCCCTGGGCTCACATTGAACCAGAGCTTCCTCTTAAAGATCACCAGGTAGAGCATGTTGGTCTGGGTTACTGGGAAGCAAGATTTGAATGATAAATATGGAGAAGCACTGGCATGTAAAACTGAAGGTGTCAGTATGATGCATTACCTTCTTTCACTTTTTTTGCTTTCTTAGGAGGGTCTGAAGTCTGCCTTAAACTGTCAAAGAAATATTCCTGCTCATCCAAGCTCATGATCTAAGAATTAAAAACAGAATAACATCAATAACTGGGAGAGTTTGGGAGAAACCAAACCACAAAATGTCCCCTTACGCTCACATAGAAATTAATATATGTCTTATAACATATTCATCTTGTATGTCACATGACAATGTAATTAATGGCTAAAACCTATGAATTGACAAATTAACTTATAATAATAATAACTTCAGCAGGAATATTACCCAACCGCACCTTGTTGGGTGTTTTCAGGAACAGGCCATATCCGTCAGCTGAGCTCAATTTGAGCTCAGAGGCAATATTGTAGCACAGGTCTTTGATTGTGGTTGTCGATTTCACCTCTAATATCTGCATGACAGCAACAACAATAGGTACAGTACAAGTAAGTACAAGGAGAAATCTAAATGCACTGTGTGATGATATGCAACTTAAAGGAAAAGTTTCACAGTTTGTGTAATACGCTTATTTGCTTTCTTTTTCCTTGTTTGCCTGACAACCTCATGGTAATTTGATAAAGCTTTTTTTTCCCCAGGTCAGCAACAGGGCTAGCTGTTTCTCTCTATGTCTTTATTCAAAGATAAGCAAATCAGCTTCTGCTGTAGCTCATAATTTTACACATATATAGCAACTTATCTCAATGAGCATATTTCCCAAAATGCGTAGCCCCAACTTCCTTCCATTAGTAAATACAAAGTAGTAATGCCAGTTAATATAAATTGCACACAGCACACTAATGAACACCTAATCTAAGTGTTTAGAGGAGAGTGTTGTGTCATACCTCATTCGTGTCATTTGGGAAGTGGACTTTATGGAAGATCTGGGCGCTGTTCTGTTGGATGGCGTCCACTTCTACCTGATGGGGAGGAAACTTCCTGGGCTCCTTACTGAGGGCACAAAGCACTCAGATTCATTTATTATACATACACACAAAGATACACAGTATATTGAAAATGTACCATAGAACAACACCAATTAGTCCTATCCTGTTATATAGTGAAAACAGCATTATGTTCAGTTGGCTCTGTAAAACTGTGATATATATGTCTATCTTATATGTACTGACAATTTCTATTACTTATTATGACTAATACAGTAATGAACTGACAGGAATAAATAGCAGAGGAAAACATTTCTTGAACACATGAGGTCACTTACATTTAAATCTGCACACTCCCTTTACAGTAAATCTCTTTAACCCCTGAACATCCTTTTTATCTTTTATTTCTGTGGAAGCAAATAATTGCTAAAGTGATTTGAATCTTAGCAGCAGCTGAATACAACATTTTAGAATTTGATCACAGTTGAACACTTAAATGACCAGAGTACAGGATTTAGTGGCATCTAACTACAACCAGTAATCAACAACAATACTGCTGTGATCTTGTTACATGTGATCCGTTATTTCTAACTGACCTGCGCATCCCCTGCAGCCTCTGCAGGCAGCCAGCAGCCAGCTGGTCTCTGGGCCGGGACTCTAGGAAGCGCTGAGTGTGTCTCATCAAATTGGGACTCGGCGGGAACAAGCCTGAACACAACCACATTAGCTGCCACCCACGCTCCATGCTCAACCTGAGAGTGATGGAGAGCGATTAAATATGTTGCCTCTTGATTTAGGGAGAATTCTTTAAAACACAGAGGTACAGGCACAATGAGGGAGCACCTGTTGTTGTTGTTGGTCATCTGTCTCATAATCTGGCAGTAGATCTCGTCCTGCAAAGCTTCATGCTGGGTGGCTGGACCAAAGATCTGATCGGTCAGCTCTATGGGACTGCGAACATGTTTGATGGGGTAGTCGCCCATGTACTTTAGGATAGGTAGCAGCCAAGGTTAAGGACTCACAAGACTGTAGTAAAACTAGATGAGGGTCAGTATCACACACAGTCCCCTCACTCATTCTGCACAGTGAGGCTCCTTGCTCTAAAAACATACAGATTACAGACAGTTCAATCTGTGGAATCAACAATATTGTGATAATATTTAAAGCAGTGTTCTCCCTATAGCATTGGTGAACTCCTTACAGAAGGAAAAACAGCAGAATATAGTTTGGAGGGTTTCAACACAGCAAAGTATCTCAACATTTTATGCTACAGCTGTTAAAACTAAAACAGGGATGTGAGTGGGAAAGCAACAGGGAAGCATTAGTGTCAAGGATATCAGTGAAGGCGTTGCAGGCAAGGTTGCTGAGGTCAGAGTTGCGGACCAGGTACTTCATCAGCGGCTGTTTAAGAGGTTCTTTGGAACAAACCCACAGCTTCTCCTTGCCGACCCCTCTTGACGCACCATGTCGACCAACATTAGCTGGAGGTCTGTGATGGGGAGGAAACGCAATGTGAGCACATCTGGGAATTGGTCCTGCTTGCTTCAAGAGTGTTTTCTCTTTGCAGTATTTAAAACAACCGGCATTCATCATCAGACTTACTGTCAGACAAATATTCAATATTTGAAAAGTGCCCAATTATAAAGAGACTAATATGATAATATTACCTGAAGCTCTCAAGTGCAAACTCTTTTAAAGAGACAGGAGCCACAGTTTCATCTCTCTGTGGGGCGTTTGGTGTTAGTGAAACTTTCTTCTGGCCTGGACTGAGCAGGTCCTGATGGGTCAGAAACAGTTCATTAGTTACACCACAAGGGGGGCTCATGTAAGCCATCATGGATCGACAGCTGTAGCCATAGACCTAAAAACTCACCATGAAATATTTCCTTATCTGTAGACTTGAATAAAGTAAATTACTGCTGATGGACACCATGTCTAAAGTTTTGCAGATTTTCACTAGTTTTTGACACATTGTTATATTATGTAAATACTAACAACAAATGGACCAGAATACCTAACCTATTTATAACATCTACTATATGTAATAACTGTTTATATCCTGATTTATAGAACATTCTTCACTTTCAGTCTCAAATGTGCTGTTTGTACAGTGTCAATGATGAATTCTACTGAAATACATTTATTTTACAGCTGTTATATATAACACACAATTTGTCATATTTTTCCCTTTCTCCCTATTTGTCCTAACCCAAGAAAGTATGGCATGTAAAGGTAACACTACCAGAATGTCTTCAGAGGGCTTAGTGAGAGTTGGCAGAAATTGCACTGCATCCTTATAGACCACACCGCTGCTATTGGTCCGCTGGTTGGCTGCTCTGATCCAGTTCTTATCAGGAGAACACTCTTCATCTTCCTCCAGCAGCAGCAGGTCCCCTCGTTTACAAACCAGGATCAAGGGGTCATCTGCAGAAAGAGTGGGAGAGACACAGAGGCATGTGTGTTTTGTGGTGCATTTCTTGTGCGCACAGACTTAATACGTGTTTAAAGTGTGTTTAAGTCTACTATCCTATTCCGAATATGCTGTGGACTCTTACCTGTTTTGCTGGAATCCTGCTGAGCCAGTGCGTACACTGAGCGCTGTCTCAGCCCTTCCAGGTGATTCTTTATAAGTGCTGCCATGTCCGCAGCTTCCCCAGACTTCAGGACAAACTCTCCTCTGACTGTGGCCAAATTCATCGTCTGAGCAATGATATTGCTCTCACTAGACAGGTTATAAACATAAAAAAATCAATTGAAATGTTTTCAGCAGTAGTTAAAACAAAAATGATTATATTAGCAGAACAAAAACAAAAACGTCATCCATACCTTATCATATGCACTTCTTTTATCTCTAAGTAAGGAAGCTCAAGGAGTTTCTTGTCTCTTCCATCCATGAAGAGGATGCCATTCCAGTTTACAGCCACAACAAACCTGCTTTTGGGCAAAGGAGGTCCTGTGGACAGAATGCAAATGTTTCATAAGCCGAGCTGTAAATGGCAATTTGAGTAAATGAGTAATTCACAGGAACATAGCAGAGTGTGTGACACCATGTGCATATTTCACATATTCATTGCATTACATGGTGACATTCATCTGTAATAAGCCGAGCTGTAGTAAAAATAAGCTGTTTAGCATCCAAAGAATTTTTAGGTCATGCAGACACAAAGACATAAACAGACCATCCTGGGTGTTGAGATAAAAATACTGCGTGTAAAATCCTGTATGTAAAACAAACTGTATGTTGACTGACCTGACATCATTGTAACTTCATAAAACTTGGAGAAGTAAAGGGGCCATTTCTGTCGGGAGCTGTCGACCAGTTCTCCTTTTACGCTTTCTTTGTTCTGCTTCCCGTTTAAGTAAGGACTCTGTGATCAGGACATAAGAATCACCCTGAGGTCACTCACCTTTATTATAGCACATGGCATACACAAAACCATTTGTTTAATGTTTGTAAAATACATACAGTAGCTCCTTTAGTTTGACTGAATGCAATATACCTGTAAATATGCTGTGCTGATGAGTTCGATCCACTTTGTCATAGATTTGTTCTCAATAAGTGGGGTGGCGATGAACTCCTCAACCACCTTCCGGACGTTGTCTTTGTTGTGTGTGGAGCCAAACTGGATGTAATAGTGCTTTACTGCCAGGTTGACATATTCATCCTCCTGAGAGATGCAATACATTTTAATTGGATACAGTTTACACAAATTGGTTTATTGTTTTTTGGATTTGGATACCTAACCTATTTATAACATCTACTATATGTAATAACTGTTTATAGCTTTGCTGGCCTTAACAAAGCTGTTCAACCAGAGATTATTATTTGATCACACCAAGGGCGAAGTTCTAATTTGGCCTAAAGCACTGATATTAAAACCTCACCTTCTCATTGGTGTATTCTCCCGACTTGATTCCCTTGACGGCCTGTCTGTAGATCAGATCCGTGCTGATCGGGTCTATTGAGCAGTCATGCCAAGGTGTGAACATTTCCTTGCGGATGGAGAGCTTCCAGGGGGTGTTCTTCTCCTCCTTGCCCTGCCTCCTCATCTCCTGCTCGCACTGAGACACTGCATCGAACACATGCTTTCCACAGCTGCCCAGAGACCACATCTGGTGACGAAAGACCAACAAGGTTCTCTACAATCTTTTGTACTGTGATTTAGCAGTGATTAAACAACATTTAAAAGCTGTGTTCACAGTATATGGGACAACCAAAGGATGCACACATCTGTATGCAAATCGAGGTCTGAATGGTTATGATGAGACAAGAGACAGGAAGTAAAGCTCACTTTTTCAAAGAGAGTGATGTACAGGGAGAATCCATATGTGTCTCGAAGATTGATCTTGTTAGCTAAAGCTTGGCAGACTTCAGCAGAAGTGGAGGCTGAGTCCAGGTGTAGACTGACAGTTCGGTCGTCAATTAGAGTCACAGACACATCTATGGGCTCCTTGGTCTTGGCAGCCTGTCAGTAGGGAGAAGGAAGAAGAGACTGGATTTAAATCAAGAAAACAATCCAATTATTTGGAATTATGTAGCCAATTGATGTGAGGTGTGCTGCTCGAGAAAGTCTTATGTAATACTGTCAAGTTGCTAAATTAAATAAATAAAGAACAAAAATGTGACTCTACCTGTAGCTCTATCCAACAGGGCAACTCTTTCCTTTCTCCATTGGCTAAGATGCGACGCAGGCGCTCACTACAATATTCTCCGTAACCACTCGGCCCTTTGCGGACAAAACTCTCCAGATACTGGAGGACAGGGGAGAACAGAACAGGGTTAATTAAATATATTGCAGAATTAGAGGAAATGGACATAAGCACAATTTTCTCCTGTAAGAATGATAACAATTTCAAATATATGGAATATTATTAGAGTGAACTGCTTTGTGGGTTTCTTGGAATCAACGCTGTTTCTGAACACTATCTCAGTAAAAACAGCACAAGAACTGATTTGATTCATTGAAAATGCTGACATAGCAAAAGTATATTCCTGATAGTGATAGTGACTTAATCTTCTAAGTTGAAACTTGATTCAATTATTTGGTAACTTGAACTGTTTGAAAATCCAGAAACCAACTGAATAGAGAACATTTCTGTAAAATATCTGTTTTGTATTTGAATATCATTAGTTATAGATTATAACATTATGACATTATATGTCATGAAGGATACAGAGTCTCTCTGTGTTGACATAATTCCATCGATTTTATTAATTCATATAAACAGTAGAAAAGACACCCAAAATTATAACAAAGTAAACTACTTGACTACACCCAGAACATTTGACTGCACTGAACGTACATACATTTCAGGTTGCAGGAGATGATAAGGATATACAATGAGTAAAGGTGTCTACTATTGCCATATTTAACGTTAGCTTTTTCAGTTTTTATCGGAGGATGTTTGCAATTGGACTCTTTATCTACATTTTACTGTGTTTATCCAGAGTTTTTTTTATCTTATCTTATTTTACTACTTTGATCATATCAGCACAGCAGGTGGCCATGAACTACAAGGAGAAGTAACGTGTTTATCATCCTTATTATTGAAGGAGGAGGGATACCCTCTAAAAACTCTAAAATAGCCTTTAATATTACATCAAACAGGCTGCTGTTGATTTCAAGCTGCTGCATTACTGAATGACTTGCTGCAGACTGACCTTCATGAAGAGATCTGTCGGGGGGAAAATCCCAAGACAGATGGAAAGAAGGTTCCAGCCTTGCATACGGCTTTTCCTGTTCTTATTGTTCACCAGCTGCTTACAGATCTGGCAGTAAATCTCATCCCTGCATAGGTAGAGAAACATGAGAGAAAGGCAAAAACAGTGACAACCAATGTTAAAATGAATTAAAATGTTAATTAAGGACAAAAGAAACACACCAGAATAATATAATTCTGACATTATAAGGCTGTGCAATGTGTCTGCATTATAACAGACATGTTTGTTTTCCCCCCCATCATGTGAACATTTTTGACCTTATGTCTCGTCTTGATAGAGCGTATCCAATGATAATGTTGAGTTTTTCCTGGGCTGAAAGTGGCCGATCAAGTGAAGGACCCTCTCCGATCAGAATGTCCTCGTCCTCTGTGAAGTTCTCAGGCTGGTAAAGATGTCAACAAAAAGAACAATTAGCATACGACACGCTTAATGACTCGAGACAGAAATAATGATGGAATTATTGAATATTGTAGCAACATTAGTGCTGACCTCCTCAAGAATAGCAGAAGCTCTTCTGTTTCCACCTCCAAGCTTTTTCTTGTTCTTCCTCAGTATTTTCTATTCAGAAAAGACATGAAAATTGGAGGTAAGATTTCTGTTTGACATTCCCGCTGATCTTCTGTATTATTCAGTGGCAGAAAGAAGCTGTTTTTAATACAGTTGGGTCAATATATTGGGTTTGCCACTAAAGCACTGGTTGTCCAATTGAATGCAAATTCTAATTATTATAATGCAGTCGTAATGGTTCCTACTTAAGTATGCATAAACATGTTTCATTATTATTGTGTGTGTGTGTGTGTGTGTGTGTGTGTGTGTGTGTGTGTGTGTGTGTGTGTGTGTGTGTGTGTGTCTCATGGTTAAGATATTTTTCCCGAGACTTTTCCATTGCATACTTTTAAAATTAACACAGTGAAATGTTAAGACAATACACTTCCACAGATTTTATTATGGATTATATTTTGGAATTGGTATCTTCAAAACCCATTTACATACTGTATAAACTCTCATTATTTATTATAGAATCTACTTCTAACCACCATGAGTCATACCTGGCAGCACAATGTACTGTTATTATCTTACTTTTGACATGTAATAGTGTGACTATGTTACCTGGTCCAGTCCCACTAGATTGCTCAGCCTCCTGTTTTGCCTATGAGTCAGACGTGAGATGGTGCTGGACACATGAGACACTGTGTCTGGAGATTTTGGTTCTGGTAGGTCCCCCATGAAACGCATTATAATCCAGCATACAGTCTGACATGCCTGGAGAAAAATGAGAGGAGAAACTGGGAGTGAGCTTTGGAAAAAGATGAAAATCCCTTGAAGCTGCCCCTCTTTCCTCTCTGTCCTCTCACCAGCACATCGCCCTCATCATCATGGTGCAGAAGAGGCTGCCTGAGTCTCTGGTTGATGTGCATGTGGCTAGCTTTGCCCTGGAAGTGCAGGATGCTGAACTTGCGGAACGAAAACTCATCGCTGTCGTCATCAAACTCATCATCATCCTCCTCCAGCGATGGGGTAGGAGTTGTTGAGGGTGAGGTAGAAATTTTGATTTCTGGCACTAAGGTCTTAACAGAGGTTTCTTTCACCGGTTCTGGCACGATCCTCCTCTTCTTAACAGTCAAAGGAGAATTAATATCATACAGTCAGTAAATGAATTATATATGATCAAATATACAATATTTGTTAACGTCACATAAGTGGATTACACAACAAACATATCAACAAACCTCAAATTCATCTGATTCTGGTGCTTTCTTTTTGACCACTTCCACAGGAGGTGTGGGCTGGAGATCATACGAGATCATACTCTCCTCTGAATCATGTTCAACGATCGGCTCAGGCTCCTCTACAGCTTGAGGAGACTTGGCAATAACTTCTTTCAGTCGCTCCGGAAGATCTATGGCAATTTGCTCTTGGTTCTCTTTTGCTAGGCGTAAAACGTAGGCCTTTGAGGGGGTTGGGTGGAGAGAGGGTAGAGAAAGAGGAGGTGAAAAGGTGTCTGTATTCAGAATGCAACACACATATTTCTTGACATTCCTTGTTCGTCATTTCCAGTTTCAAGACTGACATTATTCTTCTTCTTTTGTGCTGTTCTTCTGACCAGCCTTCCTCTAGTGTAAGCCTGCAGCAGTATAAATAATTGATTTTTAAATTTTATTTTATGTCTAAAAAACGTCTTGACATTTGTTATGTTATTTCCAGTTTCAAGACTTACGTCATTCCCATCAACAACACTTGTAGAATGCATGTTAAAAAATCCCATATGTTAATCAAAAAATTTATTTTTAAATGGTATTTTATTTCCAAAAAATTATTTCTTGACATTCGTTGTATTTCCAGTTTAAAGACTTACATCATTCCTCATCTTCTGTGCTGTTTTTCTGGCCAGCATTCCTCTGGTGTAAGCCTGCAGCAGTATGACAGCCTCTCTCTTCTGTTTGCAGCCCTTCCTCGCCCGGTAGCCCCGTAGCTACGGTTTATCACAAATGATCAATCATATTATTAAATGATATGAATATGCTTATTAATACTTACAATATGTAAGTTTGTGTTTTTGTGTTGCAAATGTTCTATCAAAGTGTCGTTTTTGCTTCTATGTAATAATAGTAAAAATAGGTGTGAAATTTAAAATAGATTCAGCATATAAAATAATCAAATAATTTCCATTTCTAAAAAACATTTTACTAAATAGCATTAAATTTAAAAATAATTTGAACACTTGTAGAATGCATGTTAAAAAAATCTTATTTAAATAATTTATTTTTAAATGTTATTTTATTTCTAAAAGAAATAATATATTAAACATCTCTAATGCATTTCCAGTGTCCTGTAATATACAGAATTTAACATATATATTTCAATGATACACTTTAAATATACTAATATATCAGAAGTATCACAAACACTTATATACACATGGAAATTCTTATATATTTTTGAAATGATGTTGAAATGTACATTGTACATTACACATGTAATTTAATATAAAATGTATATATAGATATAGTAAACTTATGTTACCATAGCTACATTTACTTTCAACTTTGGTACATCAAACAAAGAGTAAATCTACACTAGTAAGCTAATTTATCTGTATGTACAGTACATGCCTGGGTTTGTATTGTCAGTGCTGCTGCCCGCTGTCTTTGGTACTGTAACCGAAGCTTCCGACTACGAATCTTTGATGCCAGCCGTTCAAAACCAAGCTTGATCTGGGTGGAGCAAGGGCAGAAACAAAGGATAAGGTCACTGGACTTTCCAAGCAAACATCAAGGATCTCTCTTAAAGGTTATTCATAAGAGTCAGACCTTTCTTCGCACTTTCGCCTCTCTGTAAGCTCTCCAGCGTTTCTGCAACACCACCGCTGCCCTCCGCTTCTTCAGAAAAGACTTTCTACAAAAAGTGGGAAAGGAAAGAGAAACAACTCCTCACTCAACCTTTGTCACACACTGTCTCTTCACAGTATGTATTTTTTGATAACACCCTACTTGTTTGTAGCTACAGTATAATAATACTCATACCTGTTGTTTCATGTTAACAAAGATAATGTATTGTACTCATGACCTCATTGAAATCTGACCTGTCTTTATGTCCCATCATGACCCTCTGGATCACCAGAGCTATCCTGCTGAGCTCTTGTTCCCTCAGCCGTTCCAGGACTGCATCGTGGGCGTCCTGAAACAAAGTGAAAGAAGACAAATTTATGATTTGTCCAGAAAATCCGTGCAACCAAATGCAATCATGTTCCAAGATTAAGTCATCTAAATCACAGTCAATGGCAGCATACAGTAATAACTGAACAACAGTAGGTGCTGGTCTGGATCATATTAATACTGATACTACTTTAACAGTGCCAGTTAATACTGTTTAATGTTAATATACAGTGATGCTCTGCCATGTCAAAATAACAGAGAAAAGCTGTAGTGAAACATGGTTTGAATTATAAGTTTTCTTCACCCTCAGGAAGATCTTGGTGTTGCCTATTTTCCACTCATCCTCTCCTTTAATCACTGTCTTGCAGATGGCTTCACAACAGGCAGCAGCTGTCTCCTGGAGAGACAATAAAGAATTTATTTGATGCTGAAGAGATGCTAATGACAGTACAAATCCCTCCAGGGGAAAGATAATACAGAAGGAAGCCATCTTTGTGGCTATAATAATGACATGCACAGTATTATCTTGAGTGACATTTAGCAATAACATTTTAGATTTGACAAATATGACACTGAATCTATGAAATAAACTGTCCACATTGTAAAGTATGATCATCAGCAGGACAATATCATGACTAACAGATTTGGGGTCACAGATGGTCGTCTTCAGGAGCACCCTGTAGCGCTTCAGGAAATCTCCAAAGGTGTGGCGAATTGGGTATCCCAGCTTCCGGATGCGTATGGTGTCCATCATGCCGGAGTATCTTAGCTGACGCATACACAGCTCTCTGTCAAACAACTGGAGGAGAGCAGGTTAAAGTGGTGGCGTTCTATGTGGACATTATTGTCTCCCCTCATATCAAGAGCAAAATTAATTCTTCAAGTCAGCTGTTTTATTAGCATTATTGTTATATTATTTTCAGGCACGAGAAAATAATATATGTATACATTTGAGAGGCATGCTAACAAACTAACATGCAAGTGAAGCATGTTAGCATGCCAATATTTGATAATTAGCACTAAACACAAAGTACAGCTGTGACAGATGGAAATGTGACATTTCAATCAAAACCACAAATAAAATAAAAAAGTGGTGCTAGAGGAAAACTTCTTTAAGATTCATTGTCAGGGGACCATGAATGTCTGTAGAAAATATTGGGCCAATCTGTCAAGCAGATGTTGAGATATTTCACAGGATAAGTGAAAACCTTGACCTGCTAGTGGCATAGAAAGAAAACTCAGAGAAGTAGTAGGATAGTAGTAGACACCATGAATCTCTGTGCAAAGTTTCATGGCAATCCATTGTTGTGATATTTCATTCAGGACCAAAGTGGTGGACTGACAGACCAGACCAGATTTCCATTCCCAGAGCCACACCGCTAGTGTGGCTAAATCTAGATGGAAAATAATTTGCACTAAATTTAAAGTCGAGTAAGCTTCCCAGTTGCCACCCAACACTGTGTTTTAGTAGATTATATTTTCCCGGAAATTAGCTCAATTTCTTTATGGCACAAAACAGGAAAAGGTTGTTGTTTATCCAGTACAAGGGCAGGTTGCAAAGGGGCTGAAAATTTATTTTATCCTCTTTAATTAAACCAAAGGCCAGAGAAACAAATGCAGATGGGGGAGGTAGGTTCATAGCAACATCTTTACACTTCATCTTCAACATCAAACACTTGCACACACTTTATGCTACACATAGCAACCGTTGTGTGTTACTGTGGCCATCTATACTGCGGTAGTTGCTCTTGTGTCATTCACCTTAGACTGCTTGTCATTGTTGGGTTTGAAGCAGCGGATGAAAAAAGGATGGCAGGCGGACAGAGCCTTCATGAGGGAGTCCAGGGACTGACGGAACTGACCGCTTAGCGTCACCACTTGTTTGCGGTTGTCAGTCTGGGCCTGTACGGATGATAGAGAGGAGTCTAAAGTCAGCAATACAGTGGAAGAGATTTCACTTAAGAAGAGAAAAGATATATGTAGCAATATGAAACTAAATCACATGCTGATGAGGTTATTCTGTCATACCCGTAGGGAGCTCTTAGGTGTTATGACGACCTTCTTGTTGTTACTGATCTTCACTCCATTGGTTGAAAGCTCAGTCTCAAATATCCCACGAAGCAGCTTATTGGTGGACACATCAACCATCTTGATTATGTCAGAACTGACGGCATCTCTGTTCTTTTCCAGGAACCCTTAACGGGAAAAAAAAGCATCAGTACTGCGCACCTCACAGCTGGCAGTTAGTCTTTAGTTGGACTTTGCTTTTGTACCTTTGGAGTCGTAGTGAACCACTCCTGCATAGTGGCAAATCCCAAAGTCTGTGTCATGTTCACTTCTGGAGGCGATGTAGATCTTATTCCCTTTGTGTTGCTTGTTCATCTTATATAGCATAGTGACATCTGAGCCCTGTGACACAGCAAACAGTACTTTGGATTAAAAACAAGCACAGATAATTTACTGAACTGGCACAATTTGCAGTAAAAAGCAACATTTCTACAATTGTGTTTGTGAATGGATGAATAAGCAACACAGCATAGCGGCAGCACCTTTGGAAAATGGCTTTCTTCATCAATCAGAGCCAGCAGGTTACAGTGTGTCCCAGCCAGGAGATCCAGGATGTTCTGATTGTCACTAAAATTGATGTTATTCCACACAATGCCCTCCTTCATGTACTCCTTCTGCTCCAGCTTGAAGATGTGGCCCACGAAGAACTGCTGAAGCTTCTCGTTGGCAAAATTAATGCACAACTGCTCAAAGCTGTGAATCGACAGGGTGATGTTTGTTCAGTTTTATACGACTGTAGAGGTCTGATACGCTTACTGTGAAGGATGAAGAAAATGTCCTGACCTGTTCGTCCTGAAGTTCTCAAAGCCAAAGATATCAAGCAGGCCGATGGACAGGAAGGAGGATTTGGTGCTTTTGGTCATCCTTTTATAGATGACGCTGTTGATTTTCCCAACGATCCAGATGAACAGCTTATTGTAGATTGCCTGAAAGAAAAGACACAAATTACTATCTTCTCAGCATATCAATAATTGGTCCAAATAAACTGAGGAATATTAGGGACTGAAGTGTATTTATGACTGGATGGTTGTTTGTTAAAATTTCCAGATTCCCTATCTCTTAACATGCTGTATCTGCATCCTCCACTTTTAAATGTGTTAATGTATTGATAACTGTCTTAGTTATTCTGATCACCTGCTGTTGGTGAATTACGACACTATGGAAGTCAGTACTTTACAACATTTATGAGCTAATGTTTCTTTCATCCTCATCAGGCTCCAATAAGGAAGTGCGTGACTCTCTGATTTACCGTCACTGGGTGAGTTTCATTACCTTGACAAAGGCGTCTCTGCAGTCAGAGGCCTGCTCACAGCTGAGGGGTTTGGTCACCCTCTCTCTGTTGGTCATGAAGGAACGGTGTGTCAAACTTGACGCCAGGGTAGACTTGTGGACCTTCAGAAAACAGACAGAAACTTCATAATTTAATGCTCAACAATGATGATCCGTTAATCAGGTTTTGTGTAGACAAGAAAGTGCTCACCTCCAGTAGAGACGCTGCGATGCTGAAGTGTTGTGACTTGCTGACATCACTGGTTTCCAAGTTATTTTTTGTGTTGCCTGGTGGGAACACAACAATAGCTCATTATTGCATTATCATTATCATAATATGCATTATTGCAAAGGCAGTCAGGATCATATCTAGTGGTGGAATATAACTCCATAATACATTTACTGAAGTATTTAAAGTCCCCCTACACTCAAAAGCAGTTCCTACAGTCTGCTGAAAGTGGAACTGATTTTAGGGAGAGGATCTTTAGACATAATTTTGAGGTACTGTACTTGAGTGCGTCCATTTAATGCTACTTATAACTTATATATATAACTAACTCCACTACATATCAGAGTGAGGTATTGCACTTAAAACTAAACACAACAATCTAAAATGTTCAGATAGTCTCTGCGTGCTCTCACCCTCAAAGCAGACATTTCCCAGGTGTAATATGGCTGCCAGCAGCTTGAGGATATCCTGACACTGGCTTTCTGAGAAGGTCAGGATTTTCATCGCAGAGCAAATACGCTTGTAGTCTTTGGCATCATCCCTGCCTCCACACACGATACAGCCGCCCTACATCACACCAGGGGGAAGGTTTAGATCACTCACCGTAGGTAGACAATATGTCATTTATTTTGGTTAAGGTGACAAAATGAGCAGCAGGTTGTAATACCTTGGTGAGGAATTTGTATTCCTTAGCATGTCCAAGGCTCAAAAGCTTCTTCTCCTCAGCTGTGACTCCTGCCAGCATGCAGTAAAACATGTGGTAGTTTCTCTCCTCCAGGGCCTGAGGTTGTGGATTAAAAAGTAAATAATTGTTGCAAAAAAGTAAAGTAAAGGTGTTTGAAAGGTCAAATTGTTCTGTCAAGTCACCATTTAAACACTGGTCTCCTGTCTCCACATGCCCTGAGCACATGTTGCCCATGATAACAGCATGTTTATTTAAGCAGCCCTGTTTTTATAGGTTTACATACAGAGCAGCCCACTGGAGAGATAAGTGGGTTTGTTTGGTTAAAGCCACCTCACCTGATGGCAGACACGAGACTTCTCCAGAAGATACTGTTCCACGCGAGCACCTTCAATCACTCCGTCCTCATTGAAGAAGATCTCCAAATATTTCCCAAAGCGACTTGAGTTGTCATTGCGGATTGTTTTAGCATTTCCAAACGCTGTACGGGACAAAACATTGTTGTTTGAACAGTTGGCACTGATTGGTTTTTTGTCTTTCAGCCACTTTGTGTGTATATGTGTGTGTGTGTGTGTGTGTGTGTGTGTGTGTGTGTGTGTGTGTGTGTGTGTGTTCTCAAAAGGCAGCTGTTGTTTGTCTCTTGAGTATGTCTTGGCATTAGTGAAGTACAGTTGTACCTTCTAGTATTGGGTTGGACTCCAGGATCTGCTGTTCAATACGCTTTTCAGACAGCTCACCACTGACTGCTGCCAAGTACTGAAGGATCAGCTTGGTGCTTTCGGTCTTCCCTGCTCCAGATTCCCCACTGAGAAAAAAGACAGAAGGAATGAAACACCTGACACATTTATTCTATTTAAGACTGCGTATGAGCAACAGTTAACAGGAGTGATTTATTCTGACCTGATGATGCAGCACTGGTTCCTGAGATGGCGGGTCATGTTACTGTAGCAGGCTTCAGCGATGGCAAAGATGTGCGGAGGGAGTTCCCCCAGCTTTCTACCGTGGTACAACTTCACCTGAATGACAACAGGATACACACATTTAACACATCACTGTGATCTTTCACAAAGAGGTTAAATGATACATTGTAAATGATCTGCAACTGTAGTACTTCCGTAATGAATGTTACCTGGTCAGCTGAATATAAGGGAAAATCCTGGTATGGGTTTACTGCCACCAGCACAGAGCCTGTGTAGGTCTACAGAAAAAAGGGCTGTGTAAGAACTATCAGCTTAAAATAAAGTGACATAATTAAGGCATTTAGTCTGTTGTGGAGTTCAGATCATCCAAATGGCACACAAAAAAAAAAACAAATTTCCTCCCTTTCCCCTGGTGGGGGTAAGAGAATACTGGCTTCTGAGATTTTTGCTGCCACCCCAATACAATTTTCAAAGTATTGAAAAATGTCAAGTTTGACAGATTCATCAACAACATGTAACACCAGAAAATGTCACATATTTGAATGAGTAGCACACTCTACAGTACCCAATTTAGTTTATAATAATAATCAAAAAATATCGAATTGATGTTCAGGTTTTTTTTGGGTGTTCAAAGTAAATGTGTTCCACAGTGCATTATCCTTCTGAGGAAGCCCTCCATTGTTTCTAGAAATGTCATTTTTTGGTATTTTGACCACAAATAAAATTCCATTGACCTGTATTGAACCAAATCTATAAGGCCAATAACTCAAAGCTGGGAAAACAATGAACCAGCCCATTAAAACCAAGTGTAACAAATGGAATGAGATAATTTAGCTTGCTTTCAATGAAAATAATTAACCTTATTTAAAGATTGTCCTTTAATTTGGTGACATTATATCTAAATTTTCCAGTAATCAAACTTAGGTCAAGTCAGTCACTGTTATCAAGAATCACCCAGGCTGAAACTGCAATTGCAAAAGTGGGGTGAATTAATGAATTAGGTTGCTCACTTTTAAAGGCAGACTACAGTTAGCGTGTTCCACATGTGCCTTACATAAATGATGCCTTGTTTGTGTCGAAGCAGCAGGTTCCTGAGGAGGCCGGCCTCGGTCATGTCTCCCAGTTTTATCATGTCTTCCACACCCTCCACTGATGTAGGGTGCATGATCTTGAGAGAAGCTTCCTGCTCCTGGGACAGACTCTGCTCCTGAGCGAGATCAAAGCGAGAAATGAAACCAAACTTTCGCAGCCTGAAAATGTTTTATGAAGCTTGATGTGAATGACATACGTTGACATCTTCATTTTTTACCTTTCCCTCATCGTTCACCAGTAACCGCTGGCCAGATGGTGTTACTTTGACCCTCGCTCCAATGGGGACCCCGATGTCCGAGTCCACCCAAACCCACTCCCCCTGAAAATACAGACAACAGTAAATGTGTTAATAAATCCACAAAAATAGTTTTGTGTTTTCAATGTTCCTCAGAATACATGATGGAATGATGGAATTTCAGTTTACAGTATTTCCTTGAATGAATGACTGCCGGGAATGGTGACATCCAGGAACAACTGAATGATATAAGGCCTTCTGGGAAGCAACACTCTTATCAATAAAAGTTTCTGTCAGCCTTACCTTTCTCAGCATCACAAATTTTCAGCTTTTCTCCACTCCCTAAACAAAGAAATGGCGAAGGAAAAAGTGATTAACTCCATCAAAACGCTTCAAGCTCATCAGCACCGTTGTGCTCAATACTACTGGTTAAGGTTAACAGAATAACAAGGGACTTAACGTAACACACACAAAACAGTCAAGTGGTCTACCTAGCAATCCTTTTTATCTGTGATCTTCATTAATTTCCACTCTTTAAGCCGGCTGTTGGGCTGCTGTTTGCCTTGACGCCCTCCTCAATCTGTCTCACTGTGAGCAAGGAGGAAACAACTCCTCTTCAATTTTATGGCACTTGGACTTTGAACCGAGTGACTGTGAGGAAAAAAAACCCCCACAGCTTACGAAGAGGTGCGTGTCTCTCTTGTCATCGAGGGGGAGTCTTCCTGTCCTCATTGATCCGACGGGGAAATCTTCTGAGAAAGTCTTATATGAGCAATCACTTACAGTCATGATCTTTAAATACAATTCTGAGACTATTTTAGAGGAACAGCAGCACAATAAGATATTGATATTAAACAACTCTTTATATAAGTGACCTTATTATAGATTGATCACGGCCATGGAGTGTTGTAATGAATTTATGTGCAGACCTTGAACCCTGGTTGTGTAAATCTGACACTGCTGGGCATCTCACGAACTGTTACTGCAATAAAGATGTAAATATGAGATTAAATTAACTACCTTACTTCTGCTGTCAAAAAATAAATTGTAATGAAATTCTATAAACTGCTAATTTCACTACATGGCAAAGTTAGTGTCAGGTTTGAAGTTGTAAAACCTTAAGGGAAACCTCCTTTTTACCAGGCAAGTGAGTTTATTGCCTTATTAATGTGGGTGTAAAGTCAAAGCAGCACATTTGACCGAGATGGGTGTCACTGCTGGTTATTCACTGGCGTCAGTGTGTTGTCAGCTCTGATAAGGAATTCTCTGCAAGGTAGTCAGAGGAAAATAAAAACTGTCATAAACATCACTTTACATCACTGCAGTTTCACGTGCTACTGGGTGACTCCAAAGGTAGCCAGTTCAACACCGAGTGAAGTGACAAATGTGAAATTTCCATAATGCATGTTTGTGTTAGATACAAAGATTAATTTCCTGTTTCAACTCATCAGTCTGATCTTTGACTCCATTTTTATGACACTATTGAACCAGAGGAGTTATGACGCTTAAGATGATAACAGTGGGCAGTTTTTATTTTCAAGTGATACTATGCAACATTAAAAAAAAAAAAGTGTTTCTTTTTACAAACCAAAATTTGTATTGAATTCGTAACCAATAAAACAAAAAATTCAGGACAACGAAAGTATGACATTTTGGTTTGTTTCCTCTATTGTTTGTATTAATGTGAGGATGGTTACATCAGATCTGTGTGGAGTGATCATGGATGTATTATAGAGCCGTCGGAGCGATGAGGAGACTGATCAGTCAATGTTTACTTGGTATACATAGAACTTGGTCAGAAAAAGTATTTCCATCTCCCAATAAGCACATTAACTCATATAAAATTACACTGATGGAAACACACTAGTGACTACTATTCAGCAGTCATTTGCAGTGTGTTTGTCACTACAAATGACTTTCATATACACATAGTCATATCATCCATTGTTGATTGCTGATATAGAAATATTGATCGTAGCAAATTTAAGCAGTCCTGACATTTCATGAAAATGTGGCACTCTGAAAAGTCATCATTATTAAGTTCAGTTTTATTTTACCTACCATTATTTAACAAGATGTGAAACAAACAGTACCTAGGCCTATAGATTATAAAGGCGTCACCAACTGTGACATAACAGTCCAGCTCACTATCTTCTATATGCAGGTGCAGTGGGTTTATGGTGGATTCATTACAAACACTCCCTGGCAATAAAGAAGACAGAATATTATCTGTGTTTATTCGCAATATAAACTAAACAGTGGAGGGCATAATGTAATTCATTAGGGGAGTGTCACCCTGAATTTGTGTTGCCCTGCTCAATGACTACACCTAAATATAGTTACCTTTAGACTAGTATTCAGATAAGAAATACACACAGTTTGAGTCCTTTTTTATCCAATGGATTTCGTGTATGTACTTTATTTACCTGGAGACACAGACAACTATGTATTGCTCTGTATGATGGTTTAGCAGAGTACAAATGCACTTTGAATACTGACCAGAATCAAAGTTACATGTCACAATATAACTTCGCAAAAGACACACAGAAGCTAGACTTGAATTTTCTTTAGTTTTAACTGAGTTCTCTGGTTTCCAAATATCAGAAATTATTATAATTTTTTTAACCCTAATCACAGAAACACATCCTACTAAGTCAGTACAGTTGTTTTGATCTAGCACTTTACTTGCTGGTTTAAAATACATTTAAAGCTCATGTTACAAACTGTTTGTAAAACAAAATAACTTAAAAACATTAGCTACTGGTCTTTCAGAAATCTGGACACAAGCCTAAAAACAACCTGTCAAACAAGAGGTTTGATATAAAACAATAAAACAAAACTTGTACAGATGTAGCACGTATGACACGACATGGCACTGTTCAACTAAAATCTGAATGAGTGAGAACTCAAAGAGGCACACTGACTTACTTTAAGCAACAAGACCCAAAACCATTTTATGATTTTATCTTCACTTGACTAAATTAAGACGGAAAATCACAGTTGATATTAGTGAGGTCCATAGAGTATTTGTGCAGCACAAATCAAGTCTGAGAATTAAAAAAGCCCACAAACAACAGCTGGAAGCACTCCAAAGCTCATGAGCCAACATAAAATACATTAAGGCCACCAACCATTTTCAGCAGCAATTCACATTCAAGTCATTCCCATGTTTTGTATTAAAAACAATAACAATGAGTTGATAAATTATTAAGCTTTGGCCTGAATGGCACACTTAACACAGAAAATGTACCTCCGTTAAGAAAAATACATTGGATCCATGAGACCCCACTTTTAAGAATTTAAATCAAATGAAAAGACCTGTGAGCTGTACTTCATGGCTGTGACCTAAAGAGGCCCTCCAGCCCCTTCATTCCCACCCAGAAGAATCTGAAAGCTCTTCCTGCATAAAACACTACAAATACATACAGAAATATAAAAAGTCATGAATGGCATGTTAATATCCCTGTTATAGCTTTCTATTACTGCTACATGTTTACTTTGGGATCCATGTAGCCCACTCTGGCCACAACAAATGATATTACAGCCCCCATAGCTAGTTAAAGATAAGTGAAGTGAACTTCAGTAGTGTGGTATTCTCTATTGCTTTGCAAACGCAAATATGCTTTCACACATTAGACTGTGTACAACAGTGATGTCACATCAAAGCTGTCCTCATTAGGTCAATAAATCAGCAGCAAAATAAAACTGATTGCTGAACTGGTTCTTTCACAGTCAGACCTGGGTCACAATTCAATTTGAAATCCATACTGAATTACATACACAGCAAAGTCTGCCCATTAGTGAGTTCACAGTTTACATGTTTTAAACCACTTACAACAACTCATACATGTCATACAACCAACCATTTTCCAAAGCATATCATGGTAGATTTTTTTTACTTTCAAGACGGCCATTATTTCTATTACTATTTGAAGAATGCAAATCAACCTGCCTTATACCTTAAACCACAGCTTATATTTGGGATGGATACATGTTGAATGTCTATAAATGCTGACGTCCATATGTTACCAAATCAGAAAATGGAATGAAGACCAAAGAAAATGTGAGTCCCTCTAACAGCAAATTCAAAAATATTAAAACAATATACTTTGGAAAATGGGAAGTGATCACGTACGTGTGTGGGTTATTTGCAGTAAGTGGGATAACATAAAAACACTGGAATGGGCCTTCAAGTTGAGACTAAAGCTTGGTGGGAATTTCAATTGAACTTGGACTCAGTGACGTCCCTGCTTACCACAGTAATACTGCTTCTAAACTACATGTCATTTCTACCAATCAACAAAAGAAAATGTGCAATTCCAAATGTACGTACAAAGCGTTTGTGTGCTCTACAGCACTTTTTTTAATTATTTATAATTCGTTCTCCTCAGGCCTCTTGAGCACGGCACTGTACTTCATGGGTGCACTGTCTGCTTTGAGCTGCACCTCCACTAACGTGAAGATTGAGATTACCTGGAAGTGGAAACAAGAAATGATAATTATTGAAATTTACATTGTCAACTTATTTGGTCAAAGACACTTTCAGACTACTGTTGACCACAGCTTGCCACCATTAATTTTCTTGATAAGAATTGAAATCAATAACTCGTTGAAGGCTACAGGGCCACAATACCTGAGATGATATTGTACTAAAATAATAAATAGTTTGGAACTAACACACATATTACATATCATTTGAAATATAAAAATATGATGGACTACAAAATAAATGTATTTCTCAATTTCTATTTTTAACAAAAGGAATAATCTAATTTTCCTATTGGCAGGCCATACCATAACAAATTCATGTTCAGTGTCTGTGGCACTCACCTGCTCGACTGGAGGTTTCTCTGGGTCCTCTGGTATCCAGACCAGAGTCAGCTCTGATTTCTTCCCCACCTTATGATGGTGGAATGAGGCCAGGCCCGTAATAGACTGAAGGTGGAAACAAATGGTGTCAAAGTGTTGTAGATGAAGCTGTCACTTGACCTACTGGACGGTTTTATTTTGTCTCATTATTCTCTCTCTGACTGAGCTTTTTAGAGGTAGCCATTGGTCTTTTGCATGTCGAAGAAGAAAGGAAGAGGCGGGGGCAAAAAATAAGGAGGTAACAAAGTTGTTTGCTTTGATCACTTTCATTTCTCTTCCTGTGCACTGATTCCCTTAAGATGAACAGCCAATCAGTGTAACTTCTCTGACCGATGGCCTCTGCCACTAATTCAACATGCTGAGTCGGAAAAGGCACAGACGAGGGCCAGCACTCACCAACAGCCCGACACTGGCCGACTGTCGGCCCATTGTGTCAGGGCCTTGACAAGTTTTTAAGAACATAAAGGCAACATCTAAAAAAAGAACTAGCTGTTGTACAAATGTATGTATATTAAGACTGACGGTGTTCCCTGTAAATGGAGTGTACTGGAGCTGACCTTGCAGTAGATGCGTTTCTGCACTCCGTATTTAAGAACCAGCACATCAAAGGACTGATCCAGCACCCCCATCACCATGGCCTCAGAGTCCAGAGGGCCACAGTCCTGTGGAGCACACCAAGGAAATAAACATACAATATGGTTTTGACCAAACATTAAAGAACTTGTTTAAGT